TAAAAGGGATGTGTGTCTCCCGGGTATTCCCGGGAGCTGGGATGCTGCTGACGGGGCGCCGGGTCAGACCGGGCAGCACCTGCGCGTTCCTGGTGGCTGCGGCTGCCACGTAACGAATGGATCCCTGCTGCCCTTCCAGCGGCCTGCCCTTCATTCCATACCTGGATAACTTGCCAAACTTCAACCGTTCCGTGGATGGACCCATCAGGCTGCCAATTGTGGATAAATATAAGGTACGAATCAAAAGAACAGGATTCAAAGGATGAATGGTCTGTTTTCAAAAAGCACTAAACAGACGTGGGTTTTTTTATGTTTTTTTTTCCCCCTTTAATATGGTGGGTCATCCACATTTTTGAACTGTGGAATGGGGGAGGGAGTAAGCCACTTGGGCATTATATGAGGCTCTTAAAATCTGTCATCTTTCATGAGAACAGCTTCCAAAATATTAACTGCAACAGCACTAATTAACTCAATAGTTAGTTAATACGGTTAAATGACCATATTTAGTATTAAATAGTAAATAGAGCAGACTATATAGAAAAATGTCTTTTAATTTTTATGTCATAAATTATTTTTGTGAAGGATATGGGCACTGTGGTCCTTGGGAAGCTGGAATCAGGCTCTATTTGCAAAGGACAACAGCTTGTGATGATGCCAAACAAGGTAGGGTAAGGTTTATGTATTTTAAAAGTGTGACTACACTAGAAAAAAGCTTGATGATTACAGAAATGATTCTCTATCAAAAAATTCCATGGCTCAGTCGAGCAGAACTATCCTTCCACATTTTCCATGGGTGATGTTTCTGGCTGTGTGGTTAATGAACAGGTTTTTGCACAGGAGCTGCTCCATGATGAAGGGTTCCTGTGGTCAGTCACTCTTTGGAAGCATTAGGCTCTCCTGAGGGATGTGGAAATGTGGTGTGAGAGAGAGGCAGCAGCAAAGACGAGCGCTCCCAGCAAATGGTGGTGTCTGTTTCCATTAGTTTCATACATAAAAAAAACTTACCTATTTCCTTTATCTTGGTGTAAACTGAGGCACTTTTCCCACTTTTGGGCACTGAAGCAGTTGACTAGAAAATGTCTCAATACTCCTATGTACAATTAGTTTATTGTTCACTGAAAAATGATATTTCTTAAATGAGACAACAGCTTAAATTGACTTCCTTGCCACCTTTATCGAGAGCTGCTGCATCTTAAAGCTAAACATAGAGCATCTGAGATAGACTTTTCAGTTTTGAAGGTAATTTAACAAACTGTAGTGTCCTACAAAACTGTTTTTGATAGGTATCTGATCCAGTTAGAGTTCATTGGGAGAATAACCTTAACCCAACTGTTATAATACAGAATTTATATTTAGTAATTCTCTAGCACTTTCAATGGCATGCTTTTATTAGCTGCTTTGGCAGTTAATAAGATGGGAACTTCAACTTCAGGAAGTTGGAGCAATAACACTATATCTGAAATTATCCCTCTAACTTCTCTGCTATTGTTATTTTAATTTCCTGTTCGTATCTAGTAGTGAGTAGGGATACAGCACCAGATGAGAAGTTAGAGTATATAGGAACAAGAAAATATATTTCACTATTTATGTGGGCAGAAGTTGTTTTTATATATATGTGTGTGTGTGTGTGTATATATTCTTATATATATATATTTATATATATATATTTTGATCATCTCCAGGAAAACTAAAGAATTTGGAATTTCTAGGATTTCCTAGATGGCATTAATATTCAGACTGTAATAGTTTGAATGTAATGACTCTGTATAACAATGTGATTTGCATTCTCCTTAGTAAATAATATGTATCTGTTCTCTCATCTCTTAATAAATTTTAAAGTGACTTCACACATAGATGTAGTGGATGTGTTTTACAGTTTCTCTCCATTGAACATATATTACAGAATTGTATGAATTGAAATCTGTTGAATAAATATGCTGTATTATATTCTAGGAACAGGAATAATGGGAAGTTCTATTATGTTATTCAGATGCTTTACGTGTCCTGAAGCTTGTAGAACTGAATATCATGGATTATAAACCAATATGGATTTATGTACTGAAATAATGTTGTATTAAAGCAATTCCATTAAAATATTCATGTTGGGAAACTTTACTTATGCTTTCTTTAAGCACAACGTGGAAGTTCTTGGAATCCTTTCTGATGATGTAGAAACCGATTCAGTAGCCCCAGGTGAAAATCTAAAGATCCGGCTGAAGGGAATTGAAGAGGAGGAAATCCTTCCGGGATTTATACTCTGTGATCCCAACAACCTGTGTCATTCTGGACGCACGTTTGACGCCCAGGTAGACGAACAAATGTTTAATATATAAATAGGTAAACAGCACTGAAATGTTTTACCTGTGTTTCAAACAATCACAATGCCTGTAGTTTCAGGTTTCAGTTCAGATTTTTGCCTTGTTATCGTATCTGTAAATGACAAAAGCATATATCATTGTGACTCGGGTCAGAAATACGAGTTCTAAAAATACCAATCACTTGTTCTGAATGCAACCACTACATTAAGTTTTATAAACCTCTCATCTTAAAAGCAGGGCTTTTATGGCCAGTTCTTCCATCTCATACTTTATATGATAAGCAGTTAAGTCGCTTCCACATTTTTTTTCTTCCCCCTCCCTAAAAAATGTGGGTATATTGTTCAACTATACGCTCTAATATAGAACTGTGCTTGGTTGTTCTCCAGTTATTCTTTTATCATAAAATGAGGAAGGAATACACTTACATTTATTTTTTGCTTGCTTTGCAGATAGTGATAATTGAGCACAAATCCATTATCTGCCCAGGTTACAACGCTGTGCTGCACATCCACACCTGTATTGAAGAAGTTGAGATAACAGTAAGCATCTCTTAGATGAGGATATGAATAATCCGAATATAGACAGTGCTGGGGGCAGGAGGGTTCTTGGTACATAAGTAGAGCAACTAATACAGCGAAGTTCTGGCTTCGACTGGAAACTTTGGTCAGTACCAAACAGAGCCAAAAAATGGCTGGAAGAAATGATGATGTATTCTCTGATGCAGTAAATCTTACAGAAGGATATTTTCTTTCTTAGACCACTTTCAGTTTTGTTTAGAAAGGAAAAAAGAACTAGCGCTCACAGATATTAATTCTTTTCTTATTCAGGCCTTAATCTGCTTGGTAGACAAAAAAACAGGAGAAAAAAGTAAGACACGGCCCCGTTTTGTGAAACAAGATCAAGTCTGCATTGCCCGTTTAAGGACAGCAGGAACTATCTGCCTTGAGACATTCAAAGACTTCCCTCAGATGGGGCGCTTTACCTTAAGAGATGAGGGTAAGACTGGTCACTGATTATTAATTTAACTTCTGCAAAAATACCCTTATTCAAAATAGAAAGTCTTGCATGGCAATGAGGTGTCACCAATGCTGGTATCCAGTGGGAAGTTGTTATATAGATAGCACTGCTTAAAGAAATCTAAACAAAATGTCATTGTACATTGTGCTTTTTTGCTAAGTAGCAAAGAATGTTTTAGAGGGATAATGTGCAGAAGCAAAAGGCTGAACTAGAAAAATGTATGTCAGGGAAATCAGGGGGGTGTTGTATGTTGGGCTTGAATTTATACTTCCCCTGGTAAAAATCCCTAGGGCCTTTGGGGCCATGTTTAAAATCATAGAATCATAGAATCACAGAATGCTTAAGGTTGGAAGGGACCTCTAGAAATCGTCTAGTCCAACCCCCTGCACACGCAGGGTCACCCAGAGCACGTGGCACAGGACTGCTTAAACATATTTAAAAGCTACAAAAACGGGAGTTGAAATTTCCTTATATAACAATGATTAAATGATATATCTTGATAAGAAAAAGTAGCTTCTATAGCTTTTTTATGTGTATGCGTATATGTATATTAAAAAAACACACACCTATATATGAGTGCTATTTTAAGAATTTACCTTATTTTTAAAGTGCATAGTGCTTTAGCAATGGGAGGCATAAATTGCTGCATTGTGTAAGTTAGCATGTGCCGGAGAGCCTGTGTTCTGAGGGAAGCTTTCGCCCTCTCCAGAGGCTTATGGCATCTTTCCAACAATCCGTCTAATGCCTGCGTTTGTCTCCTTGGTTTAGGCAAGACCATTGCAATTGGAAAAGTTCTGAAACTGGTTCCAGAGAAGGACTAAGCATTTTTCTCAATGACCCCCGCACAAAACTGTGAGGAAAATCGACTCTGCAAAAGCCTACGTCACACCGCCTTCTTTTCTGCCCATTGATAAACTTCTCCCATATTTTGCAAAGACAAATTTCACAGCAAAGGTCCACATTATGTCAGCTTTCTCATATTGAGAGCTCTGCTATGCCACTGTTGAATTTCCCCCCAAAGAATTTTTTTTTTCTCCCAAATTCTGCTTCCTTGGAAAGATTCGGCAATAGCTTTGTAAGTGATGTGGACATAATTGCCTATAATTATGAAAATCTAAAGAATTTTTAATGTTTAATTTCTCCCAGGCATATATTAAGACATCTTTTTTTCCAGGCAGATCATTCAGAGTGTGCGAGTGTGTGTGCACATGTTACAAAGACAACTACCATGTTAATAAACTATTCAATTTGAAATCTTTTTCGGTATTTGAATTACTTTTGAATAATGTTTTTTATCTGGATGTAACGCAGTTGCATTAGCTTTTTAACTTCCCAGTAACCTAGATACTTGGTTACTTGGGCTTTTCTAAACTCCTCAGCCTCCCCCCACACACACAGTTTTAAATGAGGCAATTAGGCACTCAACCAAGTTTGTATTACAGGAACTAGTTTTGCCCCTTCCCTTTGAATGCGTTCTTAAAATTAAAAACATTCATGCAAATGTGGCACCTTCATTAGCTCTACATCTGTTAATACCTACAGAAAATTTAGGTTGACTTAACATGTTTACTAGACACAGTAAGTCGGTTTTGAAGGCTAGAACTACATATTGTGTCTCTCTAAAATACAGCGTTATTAAGTTCTTAACCGCAGAAAATGCTAACGATGAGTAAATCAGTGAAACTGGCAAAAATAAGAGAATTTGTGGCAGTAGTGCCTGTTAGTATTTATAAGAGCTACATTTTTGTGGGAGAACTGGGCCAATTAAAAAGTGCCAGTTATGTAAGTTACTCAGTTCACTCTGTCTTTAATTGAGAGGGCTGGATAATCCTTGCTGTGTTAAAGATCAGTCTGAACTGAGAGGGAGAAGGACTATTTAAATCCCTATGAGTTTGCACATACTGAAATATGGGAGGGTCAGAATCAAGCACAGTCTGTAAATTTTTGCATATCAAAGCAATGGAAGCTTGTGAGGACCAGTGCTGTTTTGCTGAGAAATTTAAAAGCAAAACTGGTTCAAAATAAAGCTTACTCAGTACAACTTGAAGGAGCTGCATAATGAAACCCTATTTAGCTGCACTTTGAAAGTACAATTGCTGTCCTGATTCTAGCAATTAGGATGAAGGCTGATTTTTCATTTTCCAGAGTATTTCTAGCAATTATTAAAAGGAATCCTCAGAGCTTCTTCAGAATGTCTTAAACATTTTCGGTTGTACAATTGTGGTGAGCCCATCTCCTCCCCCCAAAGTTTACAGTCTAGTGGCTGTATCTGAATTCACAGAACTCAAAACTGAAACATTTTTTTTCTTTTTTTTTTCTTTTTTTTTTGTTTCATTTGTTTCTTTGTAACTGTGGAACTCCCATTCATTTCACTTACAGCTACATTGTATGGACAGAAGAAGTTATTGTCCTTCAGTTTCATATGACTACACTTGTAGCTACCGTAATGCATGGAATTTAAATAAATTTTATTATGTCTGCAAATCTCTGGGCTTTTATTTTTCTGGTAAAACAGAGTTCTAAAGTAATTTTTTGTTTTGTTTTCTATCAACTGAAGTAACCCCACAATTCCTTGGATCTTAAACTCATGAAGAAAGCAAAAGCCAAGGAAACCTGCTGTGTTCCTCCTGTTATGGAGGCAGCTTTTGGATTTGAAAATTCTCCAAGACCGTCACTGGAGGATTTTTGCAATTCCTAAAATTCATAAATTGTTAAAACTTTACAAGCTAAGCACTGAAATAAGTCTCAAGCCTATGTGATGTTCAAGTGGAATTTTCACTGGAGAGCAAATGTAGCTGTTTGGGGCAGGACAGTTCATTGCAAAACTGGAAAAAAAAAAACATATTTGGTGGGCTGAAAGTCTTAGCATCTCCATAACTCATCCCATCTGGTGCTGTTGATTACTACTTCCATAAATCCCATTGCCATCACCTTGTCTAAAAGGGAAGCTTAAATAAAATTTTAATTCACAATTTACAATCCAAGACACTGAGCAATATGAGATTGTGTGTGTGTGGGTTTAGGGTAAAAACTATTTGCATTACATAACATTTAAACACACTATAAAGCATAAGTCTACACTAATTGGCTGCATTTTAGGTATAAGACCTAAAAAGAACATAGTATTTGGAAAACCCTCAGATTGCATCTCAACTCTATTATTATTACATCTGCATTCTATGTTTCATAGTCCTATTTTTATTGCTATTGAATATAGCTAAGTTTAGATCTAAGGGGAAAAAAAAAAAAAAAGATGGTGTGGTTTTGTTTGAAGTAGAATTTGCTGATTCATTGATGTAATGAACTCTTTTGTAATGTCCCTTTGGAGTACCGGTTTCCTACGGTGAAGGCTCAGGGCACCCGGCTTTGGGGCCCGCAACAACTTAAAACAGGCAGAAAGCCGGAAGGGAGGTTGGACTGCGGCGCCAGGGGCACTGCCAGCAGGGCACCAATGTCACCAACGTGCGACGCTGACAGAGCGCTCCGGGGGCGGATGCAACTGACACCAGCAAAACTGCTTTTGTTCTTTTAATGGAAAGTTGGGGAGTGAGGTTTTTCCCCCAGCACGATTGTGTTCACAGCAGCTGGTGTGACATGAATTAAATGTGAAATAATCTGAACGTGAAGTAGTACTGATGATTTTGCAACAAGGAAATAAGTGTTTCTGCAGGTGACAAGAAGCAAACGCACCGAATGAATCCACTCGAAACAGAGCCACACGCTTTGGCGCGGGGAGGCTGGCGCGTGTCTGTGCCACGATGGCAGCGGTTTCCTCGTGTGCTGCTTTGGCAGTAAACTGTATTCTGAACAACACGATGGTGTCTTCGTGCAGGTTTATCTGCAAAACAGCTTCATCTGCAGGGATAGCTGCTGGTAATGAATTCTGTGCCTGCCCCAGATTTGTTTTCAGTGACATAAAGGAAAAGATTGCTTAGTGCAAAAACTTTGTTTTAGACTTCTTATGACACCAGTCCAAATGTTAAATACTATGTCAATTATGAAAAATGTTTAAGTGTTTATTATTGAGTATTGCATAAGAAAAAAAAAAAAGTTTCAACTGTCCTAAGTAATTATTCTGTAATTACTCTGTTTTTTTGGCTCCTAATGCAGACTGTGTGAATGCTGATGTGAAAGCAGATGAAATGTACTCCAGACAAGACTGTCTTCTTCCCAAACTGGTACTTAAAGGCTCTTACTTGTTCTGCTGTTTTTGTATACCCTAGAGAGCTTTTGGTAAAGAAAAAATATACCAGCAAACCTGGAGTTACTACTGAAGATTTTATGTTGTGAACCTGTTTCTTTGTGTATATTTTAGTGCACTATAAATCTGCCAAAATGGTTTTTTTTTTTCCTCCTCTGAAGAAATGCTAGAAAGGAGTCTAGTCTTAATATAAAATGGAAATTTATGCTAACAAACGCAGAATCTGTTGAATGTTTCAGTTTTTACCACACAGGCTCTTTCACGGGCTTTCCGTCCCCCAGTCCAGCGCAGGTGGATTCTTCTGCCTTTACCCTCTGCTGGCTACAATGTGCCAAAGACGGCCCTAAGGGCAGCGAGAGACGGGCTCCTTATCCAGAGACTTGGATCTTCACCCCATGGCAGCTCTATTAGTGATGTCAAACACTTCCAAGGGAAAACCGGCATCACACGCCAGGTAAATCACACCTGCTGAAACGTAGCCACAGCGGACTTAAAAGCTTGCACAAAATGCAACCAGATGACGCTGCTCTGCGGAAAATGCCGAGCCCCTGGTCACAGTCTTTTAATTTTACCTCATTCGGGCCCTGCTGCCCGGTACCCTCCTGCTTCAGCCCCGCTGCTCGGTCTCCGCGGCCCGTCCCCGCGCGCGCCTCCGTGGGGGTTTTTCTGCGTTTTTTACAAATAACGGTAGCAACGCGCGGCTGTTTCCCGGACGGGCCGAGGCCGC